CTAAAGCTGATTGGAAAGGTTACGCGGAGTTTACCGAAAACACCTTCCCAGCGCTCCCCACACCAACCGACGTCCATCTCGATGAACGTAAGTTCCGCAGGGCTGTCACTGCTGCTGCAGCTCGCTTCATACCGGCAGGATGTATAACGGACCCATTCCCAAGACAGCCGGTTCTACGTACCGGAATGACTCGGGTTTTACCCGACCAAGGGCTGTTGTTTCGACGACCTAACCCCGCTTAGATCGGCGATACCCCTCAATCATTGTTGGTCCATGGAGCAACTCCTTGCAGCCGGATTGCTCCGCATCCTTCTTCTCCGGGCGGGCGTAGAGCCCAACCCCTGACCAGAAATGTATTTCTGCTGTGTTTGCCAGAATCGACTCCATCCAAACTCCACTTCGGTTAGGTGCAACTCATGCAACGGATGGAGTCACCTAAGAACCTGCTCTGGTCTTAGGTCTCACCGGGAGTGGACCACAAGCTATGTGGTTCCCTGCTGCTCAAGCCAAACGGCACAATCAGCCTCCACGGCTACCCGCTCGCGCAACGCACCCAACACCCGAAGAGCCTGCACGGCTCCGAGAAGCTCCTCTGGGCAGCAGCAAACCTCCCAACCCCCCCTCCCCCACAGTCTACCGGCCTGTCTAAATCGCGCGTGCGAGCTAACCAGCAGCTCCTGGTTGCACACACCACCTGCACCGTTTGCCGGAGCAGAATATACCGGAACGTGACATCGGTCAAATGCAACTCATGCCTAGGCTGGTGTCACTTCCGCCTATGCTCCGGTCTACGTACCACGCGCGAATGGACTGCGAACTACAGCGCCCCATGCTGCAGAGCGCCACTGACGCAGACAACAGCACCCCCATTGCAGCCACCTACCAACAGGCAGCAACAGCAAGCGCGTCAGATGCAACAGGCCACAGGTAGACCTCACTCGTCCCTCACCCCCCGTATCGCGACCAGCCTCCCAAGACACACGAAACAACTACAACTCAACTGCAACGGACTCCAGAGCAAGATTGAGGAGATAGTAGTCTTTATGGGTCGGCACGGCATATTGATAGCTGCGGTCCAAGAAACGAAGTTGCACAGCAACTCAACTCTATTGGGTTGCGCCGCCTACAATGTGCTCCTGCCTTGGCTGGTGCCACTTTAGGGCATGCTCAGGTCTGCGTACCACGCGAGATTGGACTGGGAACTTCGAGGGCCCGTGTTGCGCTGCTCGGTCGCAGACCTCAATTGCGACGCCTCCCGCCACCACCACAGGGCGGCAACCACCTCAGCAGCGCACACAGCCAATGGCGTCACGGCCACACACATCACTCACACCCCGCATCACCACACGTCTCCCGAACCACATGAAGCTCCTTCGTCTTTATGAGAAGGCATGGTATACTGATAGCTGCGGTCAAAGAGACGAAGCTGCACAGCAATTCAACATTGTTGATTTATGCCGGGTACAACGTGCACCGTCGAGATCGCGAGCGAGATAATGGTGGCGGACTAGCGTTCATCTTACACCACACAGTGCAGTATCGGCTTATCGAAGAAGACATCGACCCGAGGGACACCACCCTAGAATGTCAGGGCATAGCTGTCCGGTCAGGCGATGTCGAGCTCGAAATATTCAACGTTTATATACCCCCTGTCACCTGCTGCCCGGCAGGATATCACCCTGACATAGATGCGCTACTCAGAGGTGAAAACCGAATGGTAGTATGTGACTTCAACGCGCACCACGATCTATGGCACTCAAGCCTGTCCAATGATCGTAGGGGAAACCTTTTGGCTGAGCAGATAGACGATTCGACATTCTGCACCATGAACGACGACGCCCCCACCTGATAGGGAGCCACAGAAGTGGCCACCCAAGCAGACAGCTGCTTGCAGAGGAGCCCTCGCCTAGGCACGTCAGGAGGCATCTATATGAACTGACGGACGAAGTCCAGAGGTTCATTAAGCAACCTCTGGACCCGACAGCTTACAGACACGCCCTGAACGGCATTCACAGGGACTCAGTCTCGAGTTATGTAGACTCTAGACCTGTGAATGCCGTTCTAGGCATACCACCCCCGGACATAGACGGGACGGAGCTTCATCTGCCTCGGGAGACACGCACAACACTCGCACAACTTCGCTCCGGCTACTGCAGCAGGTTGAACTCCTACTTGAGTAGGTTGAATGAGGATGTGCCGAATGAGTGTCCGGCATGCGGAGAGACCCCACATGACTCGAAAAATCTCTTCGCATGCCCGGAAAACCCGACAACCCTAACGGCCTTGTCCCTGTGGACAAACCCCACAGAAGCTGCACGCTTCCTAGGGTTGCCGTTAGTGGAACTTGACGACAACGACTGAGATACCAACCGATCTGGGCGGGGTTGTTGTAGCCGCTACAACAACAACGCCCCCACCAGGATTATGGGTAGCTGCAGCAGCTCGCCAGACCTAACAATTGCTAGCGCTGGTTTGATCAATAGCATCTCATGGCGACCGATGCTAACACTAGCATCAGACCATCTACCCATAGTCATCTCGATCAATAAGCCCACCGACTTTGCTCCCGCGGACCACCGAACCTATACCAACTTTAACAAACCTGATTGAGACGGCTTCGCGGAAGTCACCGAGAGCAGCTTCGCCGCCCTTCCCACACCCACAAACATACACACCGGCGAACGCCAGTTCCGCAGGGTAGTCACTGCTGCAGCGGCTCGCTTCATCCCGTCCGGACGCATCGCGGAAGTCCGCCCAAATTTCCCGGCCGAAGCAGCTGTACTAGCAAACGAGCGTGACCACCTACGCCAGGTCGACCCCGGGGACCCCCGTCTGAGGGACCTTAATTTGGAGATTCGGCAACTGGTAAATCAGCATAAGCGGAAAAAGTGAGAGGAGCACTTGTAGGCCTGTAACTTCACATCTGGTGTGAGTAAGCTCTGGTCAACCGTGAGGTCCCTGTCCAACCCAACGAAGCGTGATGACAGAGTGGAAATCTCTTTCGAAGGTCGCGCTTCGTAGGACCCGAAGAAATGCGCAGCCAACTTTAGTAGGCAATTTACACTGCACCCTTCGGTAGACAAGGCCAAACGTCGAGTGACCAGGAGGCTGCACAAGCTGCCAAAAAACAGTGCACCACTTGTTTTCACCAGCTGTGAAGTGAAGGGGGGCCATCGGGAAGGCGAAAGCCTCCAAAGCCATTGGACCCGACGGAATCTGCATGCTGATGCTAAAACATTTAGGGCCTAAGGGAGTAGCTTACCTTACGGAGGTCCTCAACCTGTCCATGGCCACTCTCATCATTCCTGATGTGTCGAAATCAGGGAGAGAGGTCCCACTGCTGAAACCGGGGAAGCCCGCCAACAAAGGAGACTC